CTCCCCCTGAAGGCAATGCGTGCCCACAGCCTCTCTAGTTGGCTAAAGCATAGTCGTACAATTGACAAGGAACTAATAATTGAACTTAGTGGAGTTACTGCTCTGTACAGCTTACCTTCAGGACCTGCAGGAACATCCTTAACATTTCGCAAGCAAACCAGCAGACGCACCTAATGCCCGAGCGGGGGTTCTGTAGGTAGAGAACCTAAATGCATCTTTAACGAACCGGTCAGTTGTTATTTCTGGTAGCCATGGACCGCCAAAGCCGATAAGCTTTGCAACCTCATTAAGGAAAGGCAGACACCCCCGATAATTCAGGCTCCACCCCAAGAGACACAGAAACTGTACAAGTTCTCACCCACGCTTCATGCACGATAATCCACACAAGCCAGATGCACAGCTCCCTGGTGGCTCCCACTAGTCATACCATCGTCCAACTCACAGCGATGCAGCATGCAGAACAAAAAGTTCAGCACTGCTCAAAATGCACCTTTGTGACGGCGCATCTCGGTTCACGGTGGCAGCGCAACCGGTGGGGCATTCAAGAGTGGTGGACTGTTTCCTGTCCTGGCTGCTCCGCGACAAGAAACCGACTCACTCTCTGAAGGTGAGAGAGCTATCCTTGACAGCGTGTACGGCGAATTATGGATGCATCAAGTAATTCGTTGTGCCTCTAGCCAGTGCCGGTACACATCTTACGGAAGTGCCCGGACGTGAGACCCCGCCGCATCGCCATTTAGGGCCGAACGTAGCGCCATTGTCAGTAGAAGAACTGGGCACGACGGCGTTCTGGCACGCTGCTGCGCCGACGCGACAATCTATCCTCCACTGCATCAGCCACTTGGGCTATGGCAAAGAATTAATCGCGCCTACCGGGAATATACTTCTCTAAAGACTACACCTATATGCTGAAGGGGGCGCAGTCTCCGGTAGTGCACCAGGGCAAACGACGAGACTCCAACAGTACAGCAATTTAGTTCGGGTGAGAAAGGCAGACGTAAAAGTGCCTGGCACTGGTCTGGTACCCAACGGTGAAAATGACCCAATTCCTGCATGCGCAAGGGCAGTTCTCCATAGCTTCACAATATGCGTCCGAGCGCGTTAAAGTGCAGAAGCGGCCGCAATCACAATGTCGCGCGCACACGGCGAATGCAAATATATAGTGCGGCGCTTCTAACGGAATGCACGCTCAGGCAAGAGCAAGTGGTTGGCCTCATGGTTCCTCAGACAGAACGCCTGCACAACAGACGCACCGTCGTCCTACCCACATTTGCAAAAGCTCGAAAAACATATTGGGAACTAGTCTGTATCGGGGAATACCACCGGGCGACCCGAAGTCACAAAGCCAAACGAAAACACGGATGCAACAACGGATGAGACTGCACCTCATGCTCCGCTCGAGATTGCGCATAAACCGGCTCAATAAACCACCCTCTCGAGAACTGCGAGTGAAATCAACAGATGCGTGGCCTTTGGTGTGCTCTGGTTGCATTTGGTGAGCCAGGAGTGGCATACAGGCTGGAAGTGGAAAAACTAGTGGTAACGGGTCGTACGCCGGGATGTGAGCATGCCAAGAGCATACGTAACTGCCTCGTTGCAGGCACTTTGGGAAGCTGTTGCCTCAGTTGGCCAGTAGCCAACTCCACCTAACAGCTAGACCGCGTGGCTCCCCGCATCCCACCGCTACACCCTAAAAAACCCTCCAACACATCTGCATAAGCCTAGCGATTTAACATCTACCACTACGCTCCACTCCCGCCTCATTCCTCTCCAAACCCTTAGTGCTGCCTAAACCACTTACCGGTTCGGTCGGCAACGACAATCGTTGCCAATGCGCAAACACACATCCACACGCACATCACCAACCCACCGCCACCGCAAAGACGAAGACATCTGTGGTGAATGATTGACGCACCCTTCACTGGTGTTGTTGGGAGCACATTAACACCACCTACACCGACAGGGGCAGCAATGCTGGTCCGCGCACCAACCCCCTCCGGACGCACCAGACCGCTCAGCACAGCATACGCCAACTAGAGAAACACTGTCCTTCTCCTTCGCGGATCGCAAAGAACCAATTCCACCCAAACCCTTGACCCCACAGTCCACTATCGCCCGCCGATCAACGCTGGAAACCCCCCAAGATCCCTGAATGCGAAGCAACCCTTGTTGGCACACCCAACCTCTCGAGCTACGCCAAAGCGCACGATGCCACACGACGCAGCTAGTTAAGCAATGTCTTTCTGTTGCCCACATCTCGCACGACGAAAACCACCTAAAACCTAGACTCCACATTCCACCAAGGGTCACCGCTACACCCCGCAAATCCTCCGAGATGTCTGAATACACCTAGCGATCCAACATTTACCACTACGCTCCACATGCCCTCCCCACCTCTCCGCACAATTACAGGCAGACGGACACTGTCATTCTGTTGCAGACGCCCCTCACAACCAACACCACCTAAAACCTAAACACCACAGTCTACCAACGGTCACCGCCCAACGCTCAAATATTCCAACACCTCTGCATTCTCCTAGCCATGCAACAACTACCACTACGCTCCAGGTGCATCCGTCGCCCATCCAGACGCTTGAAACAGCGAACGTCGCCTACTGGCTGGACCTGCAACGCCCATCCTTGACAATCCGCAAACATGCATCCATACGCACACTACCGACACATAGCCACGGCAGGCGAAGGCCTCTGTGGCGAATGACTGACGCACCCTTCGGTGTTGCTTGGAACGCATAAGCACATCCACTGTCCACAGAACAAGAAGAGCTGCTCCGCGCAACCAAACGTTCCGGCTACACCAAACCGCACAGCGCCACACGACGCAGCTAGTCAAACAATGTCTTTCTGTTGCCCACACCTCGCACAACGAACACCAACTAACACCTAGACTCAACAATCCACCAAGGGTCACCGCTACACGCTGCGTATCCTTAGGCACCTCTGAAAGCACCTAGCAATCCAACACTTACCACTGAGCTCCGCATGCTCCACTCACATTTCCGCACAATTAACCTGGCTAAAACCACTCACGGGCTGGGTCTGCAGCGACAATCATTGCCAATGCGCAAACACACATGCATACGCACAATACCAACTAACGCCCACGGCGGAGACGACGACGACTGAGGTAAATGATTAACGCACCCTTCTCTGGTACTGTTAGGAACACCTACGTGCCTACAACGCGGGCAGGGGCAGCCACGCTGGTATGCGCAACCAACCTCCCCGGATACACCAAACCGCGCAGCACCAGATACGACAGGCAGACAGACACTGTGCCTCTGCTGCAAATGCCTTGTGCAACCAACACCAGCTAAAACGCAGACTCCACTGGAATGATGTAGGTGACCGCTGCACTCAGCCACCCACCCTGCGCCTCACACTAAAGCCACTAAAGACACGAAAACTGGGCCGCTGTTCTTCTGCACACAACGCCCGCAGCATAATGTGCATCACACTGTAGGTCTGCAGTCCCACACACTTGCCACAGCTAGTCAAGAGTGACTCGCGTGCACCGGAGCGGTGCCATTAGATAGAGTGTATTTCGCGGCCATTACCGCGCAACTAGTCACGCTCATACGGACAGTCGCTGTGCATCTACGCCTAAGGCAAGCAGAAGGACACGAGAATGTGGTGCATCCGCCGTTCGTGGGCACAGCTATTCTGCGCGGCCAAGCCGACACAATGTGTAGAAACGCAAACGCCAAACACAGTGGCACGGCTGACGATGTAGCAAATATTCCGAAAATCCTTCCACCGCTTCACAAGTGGCCGAGAAGCATAGGAGTTCAATGCAAACTCCTCATGCAGCCGGGGGGGGTTCTTAAGTGCAGAGACCCCATTTCACGCCTGGCTGAGTTCCGACGGAAAGGAACGACATACGTTTTGCATCCAGTCGCGTCACTGCCACTCAGTCGCTCGCCCCTCTCCCGAGCCACGAACCAAACACCGCCAAGGCGTGGTTAGTGCCTTTCGCCACTGAAGTGGCACGATTGGCAAAGGCACAGAGGAAGATACGCGTCAAATCTTCGCAGCTCAGAAAACACAACTGCGTTGCTGCTGGCCAAGGAGTGCCTTTACCCCACCTCGGGTAACATTCCTCCATGCGGCTGCAACGAACGCGAGCAATGCGCCCATATGCTGCAATAAAGCAATCCACCTCTAACCTGCACAAACCCTGCCGCAGATGCGGACGTCACGACAGAATCCCGTGGATGCAATGCAGCCCGCAGCGCTATATATCGCTAAGCAAACACGCGCCTGCACACAGCCACTCCGCCGCTAAACCCACGCATCCACTTCACGTCCACTCTTCGCCGAAACACAACAAAACTCACTGCACATTTCACGCAACGCAACGCAGATACCTACCGACGCATCACGCTCCACACACTGCTTATAATGCCCGTCCACGCCACTCAAACCTAGCGACAATCGAGCATGCACCAAGAGAGCTTCACTCTAACAGAGTGGATCATCCGCCTCCGTAGCGGTATCATCCGGCGACATCGACATACCTGCTGCACACAGTTGCCTCCGGGTGTTACGGAAAGAAAAGTAGAGACTACTGACGAGATGCAGGTAGTCGCTGCATTCAGCCACCCACCCTGCGCCTCACACTAAAGCCACTAAAGAGACAAAATCTCAGCCACTGTCCTTCCTGCACACAACGCAACGTAACATAAACTGCTTCGCAGTGTAGGCCTGCAGTCCCACGCACTTGCCACAGCTAGTCAAGACTGACTCGCGTGCACCGGAGCGGTGCCATTAGATAGAGTCTACTTCACGGCAATCACCGCGCAACTAGTCACGCCCATACGCACAGTCGCTGTGCAGCTACACCTAGGGCAAGCAGAAGAACACGAGGATGTGGTGCATCCACCGTTCGTGGGCACAGCTATTCTGCGCGGCCAAGCCGACACAATGTGTAGAAACGCAAACGCGAAACACAGTGGCGCGGCTGACGAGGTAGAAAATATTCCAAAAATCCATCGACCGCTTCACAGGTGCCCGGGAAGCATAGCAGTTCAATGCAAACTCGTCATGCAGCCGAGGGGATTCCCAAATGCAGAGCCCGCATTTCGCGCCTGGCTGAGTTCCAACGGGAACGAACGACCTACCGTCTGCATTGCATAGCGTCATTGCCACTCAATCGCTTCTTGCCTCCCCTGCGCAACGGAGCAAAGACAGTCAAGGCGTGGTAAGTGCCCTCCGCCACTGAAGTGCCACGATTGGCAAAGGCACAGAGGAAGATACGAGTCAAATGTTCGGATGCCAAGAGAAGCAATTTCGTCGTTGCTGGCCAAGGAATGTCTTCACGCCGACTCGAGTAGCACGCATCCATGAGCCTGCACCAAACGCGATGTCGTCTAGAAATATCGCCCTTTGGTGCATACCAGACACGAGCGTCCGCTGGGCCGCCGGAGAACGACAGCGTTCAGAGCAAGCCTCCTGCCGCGGTACGTCAAACTTCATCATTGCAATGCAGATTGTACAGAATACGAACCACTACCCATTTTCTGTACGCAACCCGTACCAGATATTTCACTACAAAGTTCGCATTTACTCGTCCTTGCACAGCAACGCAATTGATTTTCAGCATAAGCACTCGGTGCGACGAATATCGCAACCATCCACCCGACCCTAAACCGGCTGGAGAAGATAACTTCCGTCCACGAACGTGTTACGCAACTAGGCTAAAACCTTTACGTTCGGCAGTTTTTGCCCTGCGGACTGCTGGACGAAAGTGTCAACGCACTAGCTGGCCATACAAATGTGACTCGTGAACAGTTTGCTCAACAAGGTGCGGAGACACCGAACAGGAAACCAGTCAATGAGTGGATGCAGGGCATTCACAGAGGAATGACGCTTGCACAACCCAAAGACATGCATCCAGACGAAGTCGCAGCGGGAACAGTAGATGCTGTTTCTCCCAAATAAGGGAAAATGCTACAAAACACCGCAAATTCCCAAGGCCATGGCTGTCCAAACTTTACCTACGCCGAAGGTGCAGTGCACAACAAAAGCCCTTCACAAAGTGCACTCCCACTGCCTTCCACTGCCACTATTTATCTTCTCTCCAATTTGCACGAATGACAACGCAGAGCGTCGCCTGTCGCCGCGCACGGACAGCCACCACGACATATTTGCCGCAATGCACCGCGAGTCGCATTGGTCCACATATCGCTTCAACATTGCAGTGCCCCCCAGTTACAGGTCAAGAAGCTGGAGGGCATCCACCACTTTTTGTGACGTTCGCTGATGTGGCTATTTTGCGTTCCTAAAACAACGCACGTGCTGGAGCTGCAAACATATGCCGGCAATTTCGCAAACAAAGCTGCACGCGCCTCGAAGAGTCTTGTAATCGCCGTGAAAAGCCCTATTGAAGCATTTGAAACTGCCACGAGGAGCTGTTGAAGGCATATCTGTATGGTGGCCAAAAAGAAACGTAGTACCTACCCGTTTTACGCTAAATATCATCGATCCAGAACTCACGGAACCTGAATCACTGTTTTGGCTACCCCCAGCTCATGCAAGAGGCAACACATAAAATCACAAACCTGAAGCCACCTAGAGGCCACTATTCATGAATGATATACGCCTTAGGATGATACAAAAGCCGACAAGCACTAAAGATTACTACGAACGCTCGTCCGAAGTAAAGCTTCCATTCATGCGTGAGTCGCCATCCTCCTGTGTATCTCTGTTCTGCGGTGACACCGACACACTATCTGAGGGAGTAAGCAGATATTGGTACGTCGCAATTCCATGAAGGGCCCCCACCCGATATACGGGGTTGCAATCTCTCGTAAAACCGATAATGTCCACCGCCTGTGCACAATACTGTACAATTGCCCGAGTTTCAACTGCTTGCGAGAAATGTTCACGCTACTACGTTACGCGCATAGACAGTGCAGGGGCTCAGCAATAGATCACAAAGCAAAGGGAACTCGAACACTACTTATGCTCGACAAAAACCGCAAAAGACAGCTTCTTTCATCAGTTTTTCAGCCCTCTACAGATGTCCGTTACTCATACCCACGTACGGGCACAAGGCCGGGTTCAGATTAATGGAACGCGCGTCATATTTCTGCACATCACCACAGGATAGGGGCCATTTGCCTTTGTAATTGTGTCCTGCGACAAAATCGACGTACTTCCTGGCCCTGGGAGGATC